GCAACAAGTGGGTTATCCTGTACCAGATTTGCTGCCATTCTACACTCAGGTTTTTGTCAAAAGGAAGTCTTGGAACCAACGGTATGCGGCTTGGAGGTGGGAACGATCTCGGGGCAGAATCATAGGTCCAGATTTTGGTCCTCTTTGACCTCTGGGGGCTATTGTGTTCAGCTTGAAGATGGAAAATTTTTGGCATCTACGGATGTGGTGGTGGAACAAGCTGGACTGGGGGAGGATTTCAATCTCGACCTGATTGTCCAAGAGCGTTTGACTGGCCCTGGCAAACAACCAATCCCTGAGGTTTCAAGACGTCGCCTTCGTTTCAAGCAGGGCATCCCACAGGTGGCCAAGTTGGAGTTGGCGTCCAACTCGGGGGAGGAGAGCAAGGTTAGTGATGGAGAAGAAGGGCAACACGTGGAGGTGAAAAGACTGTTGAAGATGCACCGAGAAACATCGAAGGTGCTGTCAGAGGAGTGCATCTTGGTCGATGACATGGATCCAGATCAAGCAGCTTGCATCCCTTTACTCGCGATGTTGGCCCATCAAAAGTATGACCTTGAGCTGCAACTCCGGGCGTTGGACTTGGAAGAAAGACAGAAGGAGGAGGAAGAGAACTTTCTGGTGACCAAGACCATTCCAACTGAACAGGTCTACAAGGAGTGGGATGATTGGAAGCAGGCGATGATGAATGAATATAAAGCCATAGTGGAAGAGAAAAGAGCAGTGCGTCAAGTCTCAAGAGCTGAGGCGCAGCAAATGGCGGAGGAGAAAAAGATCAAGTACTAGAGCTTCCAAGCAAGATGGTCTTCACGAGGAAGGTTGGTGGACGACGAAAAGCCAGAGCATGCATCTGCGGAAACTATGAAGGTGAAGTTGCCACAGCCACCAATGCTGGAGGACGTGATGCTTCTCAAATTCGATGTGTGGTGCGGCATGCAGCTCTTGCTAAGTGGTCCATCTACGGAACTGACATCAAGTGCGCCTTCTTGAATGCCGAGCGTGCTGATCGAACGAAGCTGATGACTATGACCATCCCCTATGCCTATGTCAAGTTGGGGGTTGCTTCACATCAAGATGTATGGATTGTGGGTGCCGCGATGTATGGCTTGACATCCAGTCCGAGAGATTGGTCTGATCACAGAGATCCAGTGATCCCTACTCTGGTTTGGCAGCGTGATGAGGGAAACGTCAAGTGGAAAGGCAGCTTTGTGAAAGCAGCTGATCAGCATCTATGGCATCTTCGTGAGGTGTGTCTGGAAACGAGGGAGGTTCACAACCGCGGTGTGATGACCATCTATGTGGATGATGTTCTACTTGCAGCATCTGATGAGGTGGCAGCATGTGCCTTGCGATCTATTGCTGCACCTTGGGACTATGCTGATGCGGTGAGGGCGACACAACAGGAAACTGTTTCTTTCTGTGGTTTTGAAATACAACAGAATGGACTGGAGCATGGCGGTGGATTTCGCTTGCATCAGCGTAGCTATGAAGAAGAGTTGATCAACAAGTGGGAGGTTGGACGCATGGCTGGCCAATTGGATTTCAAACTTCCTTCACCTGAAGAAGAGGCGGAGTTTTCTCGATGTGATGATCTGGATCTGGTGCGCCGAGCGCAAGCTTGCACTGGAGCACTACTCTGGCTGGCAACAAGAACACGACCTGAATTATCAGTTGGAGAAGCAGCGATGTCCGGGCTTTGCACAAAAGCTCCGGAGCTAGCAGTGTCCATCGGCCTCAAAATGATGGCGTATCTCAAAAGACCTACGTGGGGCATCATCTATGCCGACAATCCTGGTCCAGTTCATGGAGCACGACAGCAGCTCAACAAGCCTCGATGTGTGCGCACGGTGGAAGCATACTCTGACATTTCCTATGCCGCATGCCTTCACAAAGGGTTATCGTTCAGTCCAAGGCCAAGTCTACTTCTATGCCGGGGCTCCGGTGATGTGGACCACCAACAGGCAGCCTTTCCCTACACAGTCAACAGCGGAGAGCGAGCTTGTTAGCCTTTGTGAAGCTTTGGTGGGTGGCCGCGCCACTGCTGCTCTCATAGCTGCTCTACGCGATGAACCAGTGGAGAGATTGACAAAGAGGCTGTGGGGTGACAATGCGGCATCTATCAGTTTGGCCACTGGTGAGGGACAGGGTAGTTGGCGTTGGCGCACAAGACATCTACGAATCAGGGTGCGATCTTGAGGTCTGCTTTGCAGGAGGAGGAGTGGGAGTTGGGTCATCTTGCGGGTCGTGAGTTGGTAGCTGACTCATTCACCAAAGTTGTTGATGGTCCAGCTTTTGAACGAGCTCTTCAAGATCTCTGCATCAGAGCTGACTGCGATGTGAAAAAAGGTCATGGAGGTGGATCACACAATTCAATCAATGCGCGTGTTGCAATGCTTGTGGGTGCGACTTTGCTTTCAAGTGCTGCTGCAACTACTGAGGAAGTTGGTGAGGACGAATTGCCCTGGTTTTGGACCGTGGGTTTAATCCTGATGTGCGTGGGCGCTGTCTATGTTGGGAGCTTGGGTGTCCGAAGTGGCATGTGGCTTGGAATAGACTGCAGAGGACATCGGGCGGCCAATCGGTCGATGAGGCCAAAGGGCAAGATGCGACACCTTGAGTCAGCATGTTGCGATGCAGCAGTAGTGAAGAGGAGCGTGAGCGACGAGCAGCAAGACGTGCAGAGATCAACCAAGAACGGGCCACCTACGTTCAGGCAGCTGACATGGAAGAGCTCAGAAAGTTGGTGGCACAGAGTCGCCGAATTGAGGATGATCCACACAACAAAATGCATGGTCGTACTGTGGAGGATTGGCACCAAGATGAGCGTTCACAGATGCCACGAAGAAGGAGAAACAAACCATCGAAAAAACCTATGGACTCTGATGAGGAGGAAGCTGCGATTGAGCGTGCACGTCGTGAGATGATGCGAAAGATCACTGGCGCTGCTGTGCGTGGTGAGCATGCGGCTGTGGTGGCAGCGGCATCCATGCAGAGCTCTACACAATCGGGCTCTGGCACTGCAGCGGCTGCGAGGCGTAGCTTGCCGAATGCTTGGAACGACTTCCAGCATGAGTACGGTGGTAGGCAGTGGGGCTCGGACAAATTTCGAGCTGAGTATTGGAAATTTAAGGCCACTGGAAAGAGGCCGGCGTAGAGCTTACCCTAGGGAAAAGGGGGAGTCTGGTTCACACTGTGCAGATGTGCTCTGCGATGATCAAGTGTAGTATCAGTTCTTATCACCTGAGGCATTTTGTGTCGAGAGACAAAACAGGGGCCCGTGCCCACTTTGACTTCCAAGACAGTAAATATGCTGGCATTTGACATACCCCTTTGGACCGCCCAGGGAGGTTCACTCCTTGGAAACAAAATGCGAAATCAAAAATTAATGCCTGGGGAATCAGCCTATCAACATAGAAAACAATGATGGTAAATCTTGGAGATGTTAGCTATAACATCCATACTACATCAAACATCAATTAAAAAAACAAATCATAAAAAATCCTTCTCTCCTGGCTTATGATTATGAGTCCAACAACACAGAGAATGTAGGAAAAGGAATTTACATAAAAATAAAATAAACAAAGAAAAAACAAAACCAAAGCAAACAGAAAAAAAAACAAACCAGAGACCAAAAAAACAAAGAAACAACAACAAAAATAAACAAAGAATAAGAAAAACACACAAACAAAACTGGTGGCATTCCAGGTTTTGATTTTATTCTTCTGGTGATTCGTCCAGTCAGTTTCTATCTTTTTTGAGAATCTGTGTGTGATTATGTCTTTGATTAAGAAAAGAACCAAAATCAACTTTCTCTGTTCCCGTTGGCCTCATACGCTGATGAACTTTGGCCATATTTATCCTGTCCCCTAACCCACCCAAAACCCTAATGTCGAATCGGCGCCCAATTTGTTTATCCTGGCCCCTAACACCCCCCTTCAAATCTATTTTACAACCTAGGGCACTAGGTTGTCTTATACGTGTATTAATATCTATATGTCGAAATTTTATCCATGTAATAAACGTTTAACATGTGTAGATTGGATATATTTGTTGGGTTTAAATCTGTTTTATTCCTAGTGAACATACTACAGTAGTACAGACGGGTACATGTGAGTGCCAAAAAGTCAAGAATGATAGGCAACTGCATTATCGGTGCGTGGTGGGACCACTTCAAACATTGGCACCTGAGACATCCTGAGCCACTTAACCAAAGGTCCCACTTTATCACAACCGGTTTTGGACACCGTCGGTTGCTCAACTGCAAAGCTAGCAGCTGTTTAATGCCCGCGTAGATCATATTTCATCATCACAGAATGTGCTTTATATGGGTACTTGATAATAGTATATATAATTATTTTATATTTATATATATATATATTGATTTGATATATACTATTATATGCTATTTTCAACAACACCATGTTTTTTGAACATTATGATCAAAAACTTGGCCATTTGTCAAGAGCCATTTCCTTTTACCCCCATGGCAACAAGATAAAACAGCTAATAGTGTGTATATATATATACTCCGCTAAAAAAAAAGTTTTCTCTGTTTTCTTAAAGCGCAAACAAATCCATGGTGGTTAATGGTTGGTACCAGCTTCCGATCTTGTGGCAACAGTCAAGTCTTATGGAGTACTGTTCTGACCTTACTCTCGATCAAGTTTCCTGATATTTCCTCATTGTTTTCTTGATAATCATCCTTTTGGTCTGAACCACTAATTCAAGCAACAAAAAAGCAGAACCGGTGTAAACACCGAAAAAACAATATTAAGAATTAAGACCATAATAATAATATAATAAGACCCTGCGTTAGGACCCACATGAGGTGGAATAATGGGGTAATCCACCAAAAAGAACATGGGAGATGGCATCGTTGGACCATCCAGATCCATTCCGGATCCCTTGGGTTTGGCTCGAGTTTCATCCACGAAAATTCCCATTTGAGCGAGTTCACCCCCAAGTTACACACTGATCCTCTCTGTATGCCGCCGTGTCGCTCCATAATCCTCTGCTGCTCCTTCCTGAGCACACTGAGCAACTCCTCGGATGCTGTCATCGTGTTGCCGCATTTCGCAGCGCCATCCACATCATCGGAATGCATGCCGAGCTCGCCCCAACAGCACGGCCTGGCGCAGGATGGCTGGGTTCAATTGGTCCACAATGAACCATCAAAATTATCAACATGTTTTTTTGATGGCTTGACATTCATTGTTTCCACCTGCCTCTGAAGCCACCAAGAGCTACCAAGTATCCGGCACTCTGGTGGATCCGATTCTGGAGCAATGACAGCTGCGGTGAGAAAAACAGTGCGATTGCCTTGTGCTCATGGGTTTGACAACATACTTGTGTATTTACGAGGTAGACGTCCATTCACACACACACACATATACATATTATGTGTGTGTGTTATGTGCAAATACAGACATACATGCAGGTATGATATTGTGTAATGACTGAACAATCATATCATTGTTTATTCTATAACCACTGGATTACGATCATGGGGATATGTGTCTGAATATATGTATGTTTATACAAATATATGTGTGTGTGTGTTTCTTGGGTATGGTTAAAGCCTTGGCACCCTGGTTTTAAGACCAAAATAGCTGGCTGCGGACGTTCATTCACCCAACATGTGGTAAACTCTGTTCCATTTTTTGTTATAAATTTGAAATGTTTGATGTGCTATGTCAAGATCTTTGACGCTGAGATTAGACATATTCAATATAAGTAGCACTCTAAACACTGAACACCATAGATTCATGAACCATTCCATGGATTGGTGAAAGGGAAAATGGAAACCCTTATGTTTCATGGGAAAAAATGGTTTCCAGTAGATTTTCCCTGAAGACCAATCCAATGAACCTTGGACCACAACTTGAGCCGCTGCGAGTCTCACATGCTTCGTGACACTGGGAGGCTGGAACCCCGAAAATCGCATCTTTTTGGCACCCAAAATCATAGAAAAGTAAAATCCTACTACAGGAAATAGATCTAAATAATATATAAATAGGACTAAATTCACTCTAAATCACATATGGCTTTGTTAATGCTTTATTCTGTTTAAGGGGGCTACTAGAACACTGTTTCTCTTTCGACCGCACTTCAGTGGTTCTTTGGTCTCTTTGGTCTCTTTGGTCTCTTTGGTCTCTTTGGTCTCTTTGGTCTCTTTGGACCTGCGCCATGGGGGTGGAAACCTAAAGCCAATGGATTCTCTGAATCCGATTGGTGGAAATCGGCCTGTTCATGAATCTTGATTAACATTGATTAACATTGATTAACCATATTACTCATCATTGACATTGGTGGAAATATGTGGAAATCATCTTTTTACCAATTAAAAAACCCGAGCTGACCAAGCCGTGGCATGTCTCAGAATGTTTCAGATTCCCATGGAGTTCTGCGATCCGGCACTGCCGGGCCGTGAAGACATCAAGGTATTAGCATCCAGGCGTGCCTTCCAGGCCGGGACCCGACATCGAAGGAAGGTCGCTTCTTCGCCCCCCATTTGTTTTATAGTGTACAATAGTGTGCATATTGTGGTATTGTATGCCGTATTCCAATATATTCATGTATATATATATATATTCCAGGTTCTTTTCGGCTACTCAAATTTCAAATGATGATCTGTTATGATATTTGTGTTTTGCTTTTTACTTATTTTATCTTATCTTATCTTTTGATCCTTCTAAAGCTGGAACTGTCTGCAGAGGTAATGTGGCTGCCAAAGTCCCTGCAGTTGACCATCCCACTAAGTTCCAGTTGCAGTGTGCCCAAAGCATTTCCGTGATCCTCCTAGATGCGGAAAGTTCATGTGTCCTCATCCGACTGACCTTGGTGTTACATGTTTTCCATATAAGTAACATTGTCAAACAATGGAAGTCGGGAAACCAGAAAATCACCTAGAAAAATTAGAAAAATAGATACAAATAGTCTCAACATGTGTCAACCGTTGGGTTTTCCAGTTCCAGGTCAGAGGGGAGTAGGTCATTGAGAGGGTTCAGCCTGCAGAGTCCAGGGATGTTTGGAGCCCAAGTTCTGAAGCAAGCCGTCCATGGCCAGATTTAGCTCCTGGCAGGCCCAGAATAGGCTGAATGTCGCCCCAGATGATAACAATGGGTAAAGGTCTTGCTTGGTGACTGAGCTACAGTATATACAGTATGTAATATATAGTGACCCCCAAAAAAGATAGAGAAGTCTTTCCAGGCTGGTGTTTCCAGGAAGGTGTTTCGAGGATAGTATAGATGATATCTACCTCTTATTTCCAGAGATTCAACTTTTCTATCTATTTCAGGGTTGCTATAACTCCCCTGAAGGATGCCAAAGGAAGATTCTGCACCATTATTTAGCGTACCCTTCTTGGCAGGGCGTACCCAGCCAGTGTGCTGTTGAGTATGTTCGTCTACCTGTATGTCATTATGGGACAATTTAAACATGTGCCCCTGGCAAACATCGCAAAAATGCACGAACTATATCCCATAATGATCATGTGAAATGTTCACATACTCAGGTTTTCCTCTGGTATATATAAATATAATAGATATAACATAAATTTAAAAAAAAACAACAATTTTTATTACCAAAAACAATAGGCACTTTTTTTGGGTGCTGAGACTTTCTCGCCAATAAATAAACAAATAAACAAATAAATAAATAAATAAATATGATATATAATATATATATATATATAAATTCATTTTTTGTACATATATTATAATATATTTTAAATATAATGGGCTTGGACCCAGACCCAAGTTGCTGTGGACCCACGTTGCGCAGCTCCAAATTTGAATCCAGTCCTCCAATGCTTCTCCAGGTGTGCCCAAAGAACAGCCCACAAGCGCCAGGCAGTGCCGGGTACGTGCAGTGTGGGGATGCCTTAGCTACTCCCACTGAGACTTGGCAGACGGACAAGCCGTGCCAGAAACAGTGAGTTTCAACAACTGCCCAAGTGATTTAGTTGGAACCCCCACGAAAGATGCCTAAATGTTTTCGAGGATGTGAACTAGATTGGTGTCCCCCTCGTGATTTCCAGGTTTCCGACGTGTCTACTTATTTTGCTATAGTTGGAGCCGATCTTTTACCCAAAGGTGCAAAAGGAAAGGCAAAGAAGAGCACTTGCTGCTGTTGCACTAGGATCTTGAAGACCTGATTTGAAGACCTACGTGGACGGCATGCCCATCTTTGTGCCAAAGCTTTTCAGAGGATTTGCCTTATCACACTGCCCGCATCCTCGCAGGCAAGGGTTGCCATTTGGACTTAATTGACTGGGCATTCTGAGTTGTACAAACTGGGTAAGATATATACGTTGCTTCCACCCAGATGCACTCTGGGGGAAGAACCGATACCAAGCAGCTATGCACTCATGTCTTTGTGGAGGGGGCCGAGTCAGGACATTGGGCTTTAACCCCAAACTTGTCTAAAGATGGGATTGTCCTTTGTCCTCCAGGGTGACATTGGTTTCTTCTGCACTGGATGTTTTGAGCCTTTGCTGCTACAACAGCTCCCAGCCGCATCACCAGGATACGCAGCTCCCAGCAAAGCCTATCGCCAAGCGATCAAAAATGAAGGTGTTCTGCAAGTTACCCACCATGGTTCTTGTGATTTCAAGGAAGTGTCTTGAATGAAATGAAACATATGTATACATGTAAACATCAGTCAGTTTGATCTGTTTGCCAACTTTAGTAGAGTAACACCCCCTAGTCAAGAGGCAGCTTCATCTTGCCCAAATTTATGCCAGGTCCATTGTTTCAGTGCCAAGGGAATCCTTCCCCAAAAACCTGATCCAGCCATGCTCTGCCTCTCGAATCTGCAAAGCAGCGCTAAAACAACGCTGTGCCGACGTAGCATCCACGAGTCCGCGATAGACATTTCCCAGACTGCCACAGAGGGGGGGCGAGTTGGGATGCTCTTGGGCCGGTTTTACATCTGTCATCATTCGCATCAGTTCTTTGGCTATCTATCTATCTGTCTGTCTGTCTGTCTGTCTATCCATCCATCCATCCATCCATCCATCATCGATCGATCGATCGATCGATCTATCTACCCATATGGGGGTTTCCTAAAATGATGGTACCCCCAAATCATCCAAAGTTAGACCATTTAAGTATTGAAACCCATGGTTTTGGGGATCCATTTAAACAAACACGCCTATAGAAAAACACAAGGATCAACTCCGCTGACTGCCTGTGCAAGGTGGCAGCCACATCCTTTGGTGAGCCGATGCCTGCCAGGGCCCCTGATCCATCAAACACCCCCCTAAAGGCCCTAAAGAGTTCGATTCGATCGTATCGATGGTTGTTATTACTGGGAATATGCTCTGAAAAAGGTGTTTCTTGCAAAAAAACTGATCATATCAATGCATGCTATCCGACAAGATCTGACACACAACCAGATCTGACAAAATTACTTTGGCCAAAGAGGCTTCAACCCATGCCAGCAAAGATCCGCCTATACTAGTAGGGGAACATGATCCCAGGCAGGGGCGAAATAAAGTAACATTTGAAACCAACAAACAACTGATGACCTCTTTCCAACAGATATCTACGGGTGCCCCCTTAGATAGCACAGACGTACCTCCCAGCATCAGCCCCTTTTGAAAGTCATAAACACGCAACGCAAACCTTTGAAAATTGCCACGAATTCACCCATGTCTTCGAGGTTGTGAACTTCCCCTTCATCCAATTCTGGGATGGATGATAACGATATATATGTATACAGTATATTATAATTATATTTATATAACGGCAACAAATGTAACAAATATCCTTCCACAAGCTCTGGTGGAAGGTGGTGCATCAGTTCATTTTGGGGTCGCACATGGGCGTGTGAACCGGGGGATGGGAAGGCATCAGGGCAATAACTTGGAATATTCATGACAGTATTGAAGCAACAATAAGGGATATGAGCAAGGTTTATTTCACACTGGTACCATCAGAAAATGACAGGAGATACCAGGATATAAACTGCAGGACGTGCTGGGGACACTTGGTTTTAACATGTTTTAAAACTTCAACCACACTCCTATAAGCAAGCTTCAAGAGACAAGCAAAAACGCAAAGAAGTAAAAACACCGCTTCAAGCTCAAATCAGTGTTCAATGGGTTGCAAGTTCGATATAGTTCGATTGGTATAATTCAATTCCTCTCTCACATTTCATATATAGCGTTGGGCGTCTTTGTTGGGACCAGCCCCTTATCTCCCGTTCACACGGTACCAGATGGGTTTCGCAATGGCCTTTGTCCTGAGCCTGGCGCCACACCAACAAAGTCTCTCGCAGGCATTCTGCAGCCTCAGACAAAGGGAAACTGAAAAGAGAGAACAGTTTCGACACTTTACTTTCTCCCCATAGATTTGGAAACCACGGGTTGCTTAGCTGGTTTGGACGTGTTGTTGTGACTAAAGGCTTTGGAGACCTGCAGCTTCCAAAATTATGTTCCATGCTCACATCGCCTTAAAATAAGGATAAATAAGGTAGAGGACCAGGTGCTTATCGTCATTTCTTTGGCTAACTGGGTTTGCCTGGAAAATTGTGTGGTGACTTGGTGGGCCATCTGCGCCATTTCCCTTTTTCCAATGCCAAGGTGATCGCTTCGCCCCAAGCGTGGTGCATTTCGCAGTCGTGGCATGGGACAACACAGAGATTGCAGTTAGTTGGTCGAAAATGGATTTAATCATCAGACAAAGGTTGATGTTAGGTAGCAACTATATGGTAATATTCGGGGTTTGTGCAAAAGATGTGGTGATGCCGCAGTTTTTGGCAGTTTGTCATTCAAACATGCTGGTTTGCAGACAGAAACCATTAACATTCATTCACCATGATAACCATGCGTATGCAGCACGCGCAAACCAGCACTTCCTGGAATTCCCGTCCCGGCCCAGGTGGTTTCAAAGCCACGACCGCGAAAGATACCGCAGCCCCTCTGCCTTTGAGAGAGACTGCTGGGTCTAGCCTTCGAATCTGAGCTGACAATAGCTGACAAGATTGTGCTGATCCTACCCTGCAGGTGATCAAGATCCATTGGTTGACAGTAGGATGGTCAGGTAACGATGTAAGCATATGTAAGCCTGAAATGATCAATGCCCAATTCTGAATTCTACCATTTGACGATGACGACTATAAACCACACACCAAGGGAGGTGCACCCGTGTTTGCCTTAAGATTTTACAGTATAGTTGACGTCCTTAAAAACATCCCTTGAAGCAGCATTATCAGTAGCTCATCCGAGCCCCAGGTTCAATTTCGGAGTTGCGCGGAGACGCTCCACATCGCAGGATGGAAGTTAGGAAATGAGCCTTTTGTTTTTCGAACCACTGATAGTCACCGTAGTTCATTCTCATGATCAACAAAAACATGGATTCAGAACAAGGCTGGCATGGAAAAAACATGTAAGATAATGTAAGCATTGCAAGCATCCAAGCTATGCTCCGCTGAGCTCCCTTCGCCCCTGGGGATGGTGCCCAGGCCGGCCCAAGCGACGTCCTGGAGAGTGAGACGACCTGCGAGACACCCTCGGGACTGCCATGGGTGCAGGGTCCTCAAGGTCTTGCTGCGTGACCCTGTTTCCGCTACTCATTACAGACTTAAATGTCCACTCAGGCTATCCAAAACATGCAAAAACAATTGAAACCAATCTATATACAACCGTCCTTTGAACTTTTTATTTTTGTGGGGAATATATATATATATGGCTGTCTCCTTCGAAAATCATGAATAGTTGCGCCAGCTCAGTGAGTTGCTCACAACAAATGCTGAAAAGACACTATGTCTTGTCAAATTGGAATTCCATCAGCAAAGTCACGCAAAATCATACATCTTGTTTTTCCCCACCTGCCAGGTGAGGGTCTCTAGATTTTATTCCTTCTTCCTTCTTCCGTCTTCCCTCCTTCTCCTTCGCCTCCTCTCTGCCTCCTCCTTCTGCCAGCTCGCCGTGACTGTGGGCTCCAATGGACCCGAGCCAGATCGCAAGCGCCGGATGCAGCTGGGCACGCCGGGACCCGTTAGAGTAGACCTCACCTATATGCCCATTAAACAAACCCTGTGGCCATATACACGACAATTTTGTGGGCAAATGACCAGACTTTATGTGGGATGGGCATCGGCGAGGTCTAAAGATAAATACATTCATTTCTTTAAATAAATTTAGGTTGTAGAATCATTTCATCAGAATTTAGATAGTCAATAATGTCTGTTAAGATTATTGCCAGCCGATGCCCTGTGCATTGTCTTCACCATCTTCTTCTATGACTGGGAAATCTGGGAGTGAGCTTGCCAAGCAGTCTGCAAAGTTTGAGTCCCTAACAGTTAAGTTCAACTACCTGTGCAAAGATTGGATGTATTTTGTACCGTAACAATTTCCAAGCTATCAGGTGACTTTTGTGCCGTTTCATAGTGTGTCAGGGTGGAGATCACTCGAAGTAATTTCATTCTTGAACTCTGACGCTCTCCCATGGACATGGGTTTACATTGGTGGACCAGGGGCCATGCCAGTCCCTTGACTGCAGCTCCGAAGCTCCTGACAGCAGTGGAACCCCAGCGGCCTGCTGGATCACATGGCCCACGATTGGGATGTTTCCAGTTCTTCTCTTGCCCTCTTGGTAATTTAACGGTTTGCTATGGAACACCATCATGTTCATTCATTTTTATGCTTAAATCATCTGTTTCTAAGGGCGATTTTCCATAACAAGTGTGAAATTACCAGAGGGTATGTGCATGAATATGATTGAATGTGTTCAACATGTGAGCATCCAAGCTGCTCGTGTCTCATTGGGAAAGGGTAGAGTCTGATGGCATGTCTGATGGCATGTGACAGCAGTGCCCAATTTCAAGGTGCCGCCAATCGCAGTTTCCGTGTGGAAAGCTGCTGCCGCTCTCACTCAAAGTGGACAAACCTCAACAGCTGATGGGTTTGGCGCCTGAAAATTTAGAGGAAAACATTCCCGAATTCGCAGCATGTTCCTTATTAAAATTGCTACAAGCTGGGGTGCAGTATCCTCCATTTTGGACAGCCCCAAATGGAGGAAATGATTGGTTTCACATGATTTTCTTTCAAAATCGGGTTGGTACGGTCGGTGCAGCGGGTAAGGTAGATCAATGCGACGAGAGGAAATGTTACCACACACAATTTGCATACTGTAACTTGCAACCACTGTTGCTGATTCAGTCGTCGGCGGAAACATGTAGGAAGTCGCCTCTCTACCAGTCTCTACCGCTCTTTTGGAGACAAAAGTCAGAGGGCTTATGAAGTGCTCATTCCTATATGATTCCGATTGGGGTGGACATGGTCATACATTTCTGTGGAAAGAGGCGTCAACACAGCTGCTTGACTCACACATTCGGTCCCCCTATCTAATCCTTGCCAGTACCCCTCCATGCTTTTTGTGTTTTCATTCCGAATAGAAATGCCGTTGGTTTTCCCTGTCAATCACTATATATCACCATCCAGGTGTGTTTGCTTTCAATATTGATTTTTTTTTTTTACCACGTTCTGTGGCACATGTTTGATGGCTACATATATCATCATATATCCTCTCCATCATCATCAGGCCGAAACCTGTTTGGATTGTCGTGGCTATTGAACATTTGATTGTTCCCCAGTTTACCACCTTGTCTCACCTGTTGGGTCTGCTTTCCTAGTTTCCCTTTTCGGGGCGTTGTTATTAGGCGGGCGAGATTGTTAACCAACTATTAGCCATGGTGCGAAGACCATCAGGCTCTTCTTGGAATCTGTGAAAGGTCCTAAGGTGCGGCCTGCTTGCCTTGCATAATAGAAAAGTCAAGCCCTACTCTTGATCATCGTTTACTACTCTTTCAGGTTCTATCTTTCCTATTCTTTGAGGGCCTTGATGACCGCCACCTCTTGTCGCAAATCTGGCATTCAGCGGCCAAAGCGCTTGATGGTCAGCGTTCCTGTGGCAGTTCGCAGCTTTTCCACCGTGTCCACTGCTGACAGCGCCCTTGGCGATGGCCCCACTGAGATCCCCGGGATAGTCGTGAGATATCCTTAACTTATAAGACACTTAAGATCTTGCGTTGCCCAGGTAGCAGTGATCCCCTTCCCCCTGGGTGGGTTAGTCAGGCTATGTCAGGCTTGATCAAAGATGACCATGGGCCCCATGGGTTTACTTACAGGTGTACAGGTCCATGGGGTAGCTACTGATCATCCCTCGCCTGGTCTTTGGGGGGGTCTTGGTGATCATCTGTGACCATGGGTCTACAGGCAAAGGATTTTAGTAAATCTAATCAATAATATATAGATATATATGTGTGTGTATCTGTGTGTGTATCTGTATGTGTATATATGTAGGCAGTGGGTATGTCAGTCACGGGGGTATGTAGGTATATGTCATCATGCACAAGCACAGGGGTACGTGGGTAGTGCCAGGACTGTAGCTCAAGGCGTTTATAGACGTGCCTGTTTGTATGTGAGTACATGGGTAGTGGGTATATCCGTCAAGGAGTAATTATGTAGGTGCAGGTGCCCATATGCTGCTACAAAGGTAGGGGTCATCCCCCCCCCGGTGGGTGGGTAGGGGCTATATTTGATCGTTACAGGCTGCAGCCCCCCTCCTCCTTGATGGACCCAACCCATTCGGCGGGTATTGTAATCAAGAAATGGAGACCGTAACTCTCAACCAGGCTCAGCCAACCATTTTGGGGTACCCTCAGCCAAGCTACGATCCATTCACGGAGATGACGCGGTCGTTGACGGTCACGGAATGGCTCGGGTTCGACTGGGCTGCAGTCAGATAGAGAAGGGACCCCTGGGAAAGAAGAGGCGTGGGGTTAAGACCATGACAAAAAAATACTGGATTTTGGAGGAGAGAAACTTCGAAACCCCAAAAATAAAACAAACACACACACACACCCATACTGGAGATTTCTTCAGCTGAGGGAGCCCCAAAATATAAAATCAAGTCATTGAAAAACCCTATGAGTTTGGCGTCCATGAGGTCGGAGTTGTGTGAAAGCACCCTGCAGGAATCCAGGAAGAGACCGCGTGGAAATGGCGCATGCAGAGGTTGAATGACCCGTGTTTGGGTGGTTGGTTTGTTGCTTTGCCAAAACTGGACCCATGCCCGACTATTAGAAGCAGACTTCACAGCTCAACTCAGAAGGTCAGTCCTACCGCTGTCTGGGATTGGCACCTGGTTCCATTGATGGATCAAACAAGTACCATCCTGCCAGCAGCCGACCAGATTGTGACAAACCGTCCCTGTACTTGCATCGGTCAAAGGAAGTACAACACTGAAAACGCAACACGAAACCAAATCCTGCATCTATAAAAACCTGTATGTCGGATCTATCCACCTATAAGATGGAACGGAACCAGGAAAGTACTGAAGAGCCAATTGTCTGGACCGCACCTCAATGGTGCTAATCCACGGTTTGGCTAAAGTTCCCTTGCGATAGTTCAGGTTCATTCCCAGTCTCCTGCATGCGAGGCTGTGGTGGAACAATCCTGGCACCTCCGTGCCTTTTGGGACTGGGATTGACTGGCTTTCACGCACCTTTTCACCTAGAGGACCTTGACAAACGTTGACACATGATGAAAAATGCACATCAAGAAATCAGGAGTTTCATGGAAGTCGTATCAGATCATTTATACTCACCAGCCATGGCAAGGCATAGCCACCACCCATCTCTTAGGGTCTGGGCCCCTGACGCTGTTCGTTCCACCGTGATCGTTCGTTCTTGGGGTCGCTGCATGGTCACTGACACGCCACTGGCCACCTGCCCCAGTTCAACGCTATCCGATGTGTGATGTAAAATGCGCAGCATGGATGTTATGTAGTGCAATGCATTGGAATGAAGCGTCATCATGTGTAAAGTCTAATCTCCCCCGCCCCCTTTCTGTCTCTCTCTCTCTCTCTCTCTCGCTCTCTCTTTCTTTCTCTCTGTATCGGGCACATGATCATAGATTGTAATATTCTGGCCTGACATGGCAGGGTATGGACATGGTGACATTTGGGGCCGTGTATATAATTGTAATGGGTTTTTTTACATCTGTATGGCAAAGCCAGCAGATCCCAGCGGCCCCCCCCAGCAACTGCCTTTGTTCCAAGCTTCTTCATGATATCTTTCCCACCTCGGGATCCAGGTCATCCAGGTCATCCAGGTTCCAGGATCCCCACCATGTGGTCATCCAGGGACATGTCGGACATGGGACTAGGACATAAAAAACGGAACACATTTCTGGGATGCAGGTAGCTGATTCCAGAGCACCAATTCCCAAAAGTCCAAATGCAAGTGAGTTGCAAAACGTACTGCTCGTCGAAAAAAGGATGGATGTCTTCTAATGAATTGGATATGTATTGTTTGGGTCACCTCTCTGACCAAAGCACACGCAAGGCAAACTCGATGCCTTTTCACTCCATAGCCAAGCGTCAGGCTATCACAAGAGGGCCCTCTATGAGATTGGGTCAAGCAGCAACATGAGAAAACTCAACAACTGTACCTGGCAAGTCGGTCATGAATTGAAACAACTGCATTACCACAAAATTCTTGTGAGTTCTTCTCATGGAGCCCCTGCATTTGCTGAATTGGAGTGCCTTTGCTGGCATTCTCCTTTCTGGAGGACTGGACAAAATTTGGATCGAATTTCAGCATCCAGACTCGTCGTTGGAAAAAGTATTCCATAGACTTTCTACATTCTGCCTTCTTCTTTGTCATACAGTCAGCAAGGTTCCAATCACTTGCCAGCCACAACAGTTTGGTCAAACAACGTGGCAAAAACTCCTTGAGTTGAAACGCTTGAATGGCTGCCCTAGTGTTGGAAAGGCCTAGCATGGGACTTTCGTTCACCATGATACTGTCGTATCCTCCCTTGCTGTCAGTTCCTAAGAGGCCTGGCACCAAACAAACTTCAGCTTCAGATGCGTCAAGCATGTCAGCTCGGGTGCCAGTGCCAACTGTGCCGGCTGAATTGATGGAGGCCCACAACATCCTAGTCCTAAAAAGAACATCTTCGGTCTCTACAAGGGACTGTACTTCGGCATCATTCGTGCCGATGCTGACACGTTTCAGCTTCCAAGTTTTCCACGTCACAAGAATCATTGGTGCTGGTCGGCCAATTGACAAATCCCTGTTGCTAAGAAAAATCAAAAGTCCACCTGTGCTACCCCCTTTGGGTCTGTTTTGGTGGGCTTGATCTCCTAAGCCTACAATGTACACTTGAGTCCAATGATGTACTTTGGGCAAACGGAAAAACTTCAAAACGGTGCTGGATTTTCTGAGTTCCCTAATCAGCTCCTGCAGTTCTTGAGCTAGCTGCATCGTAGGCTGCTGGGAGAGCTCGGAAAGCAAAAGGTTGCAGCGAGCACATGCTAATGGTTGCGTCTGCACAGCGACCCACTGCAAGGCACCGATCGAAGCACGACAAGCTGAGATCTCCTTCGCAGTCAAAGGTGAGGATGTCATAGAAAAACGCTGAGGATCGATCTGCACATCCTCAAGCATCTCGATGTAGTATGATTGATCCACAACCAGACAGCGACCATAGTTCGGATCAGTGGTCATTGAAAGATCCGTGCCAGCATGTCGGTACTCATTCTTTTTGAGTTGCCCCCACTTGTACATCGTGTCAATGGAGGAGCGAATCTTCAGCCATCTTTCATCTTGCAAATCTCCAGCTCGATGAAAATCATCCACATGACCCGCCATAAATCCAAGGGTCTTCCATTTGAAGGATTCAACATCTTTTGGATCATGAGGAGGAAGAGTTTTGGGATCTGCAGGAACGCGCCACAGCCAAAAGCAAGGATCACCAGCAATGCGTTGAGCACCTAGTGATTTCAAAGAAACATCGATGTTCTGCCAAAGGTTGCGCGGGGCTGTAGTTGAACCATAGAAGTCTTTGAGGATTCGCATCACGCCATTTTCTGGAAGGTCAAGGGCTTGTCGAAGTTCTTGAACACCTGTTGTCCAAAGCTGTTTGCTCTCTTCCGTAGGCAAGGTTTGTAAGAAGGCGGTTGACAAGTCGAGGCCTTCAATCTCCCAGCCTTCTTGCATCACCATTTGATAACTCAGGTTGCGAGTCAAAACAGCTTGCACAGGACTTGAAGTCTTGTAGCCCTCTGAAAGGAGATCAGGATGTTCAAAACCAAGAAGCACAATGCGCGCCTTGGCTTTCTTGCGGCCATCTGATGTCAGAGTGGTCTCATCACCCTTTTTCTGAAGTTCTTCTAGAGCTTCGGTCATGGACTCTTCAGGAGTGGGTTTCCAAGTGAGGACCCATCGACATCGCATCAATCTGCCGCTAGATCGCGCTTGTTGTTCTTCGGCATGATCAGCACAGCGACGAACTGCCTCGTTCGCTAGGAAGCTATTGACCTCTTTCAGTTTGGCTCTGCGAAAGAGTTCTCTGTGGGCTGGTGAAAGCTTCTCCAGTCGCACTTCGCAATCTCGCATCTTCTGAGCCAAAAACAAACTTGGGTTGTACACCAACTTGCGCTTCTGGCGGTCATTCTCTAAGACCATGTCAAACTCAAGGACGTAGAGCTCGTCAACTTGCTCCAGGTAGGAGAGAAGTAGAGCATCATCATCATCCGTACGTGGACGCTTTGTCTCAGGTTCAGAAGTTTGGCCATCAGTGGAGTCCAAAAGTTTGGCCTTGGATGAACCAGATCTTGCTTCCAAGGTTGGAATGCCACTGCCAATGCCAGCGTTGCCGATGGCTTCATCGTCCTCATCAGGGTTCGCAGCAAAAGAAGGATCATATGCATTCACAGGTTCAGGAGGTTGTGAAGGCTCAGCAAAGGCCACCTTCTTGGGCGCATGCTTGAAGGTGTGTCGATAGGCAGGCTTGGAGAGTCTTGGCAATTGATTGGGCTCATCAGGAAGTTGAGGAAGATCTTCATCTTCTTCTTGGGGTTCTTCAGGAACAACATCGACAAAAGATCTTTGTGGTATAAAACTTGCCAGGCTCTTCCATGCCGCTGGGTTTTCACCTGAGTGGAGCTCAAAGTCCAAACGCTCCTGAGCAGTGACTTTGCGAACACTGTGAACTGAGCAACGATGCATAGTGCCACCAACCACCACCCAGACGATGTGACGCCGTGGATCTTCTGGTCGTTGGCCATTAATGGTCTCATGAAAAACCACACGGCCAGGGCCCATCCACTATGGTCGAATGCCCTTCTTGGTGCCACCACGAGGTCCAGTTTGTTGAGAAAGCTTCCGCCAGATCTTCACCAAATCCATGGGCTGAAAAACTTGTAGAGGTTGCCGTACCTTGGAGTTGTGCAACTTGTTCAAGGTCCTAAGGGCTCTGACCTTTCTGGCCACTTCTTCAGCTTCTCTGCGCTTCTTGAGAAGCGCGGCATAGTCCAAGCCAGGTGGATCGCTTGGGGCATAGCTCAGGCTGACGATGTCCTCATCAGTCAAAGTTGGCTGAGAACCATAGACCCACTGGAAAGGTGTATAGCCCTGGACATACTCCGTGGAATTCAAAGCATGAGTTGCTAAGGCAAGGCAAGTCGAAGGTTGAAGATCTGGGTTGTTGAGCTTGACCTTAGAGGCTACCTCCTTGATCTCTTGGTTGGCACGTTCTAAAAGTCCATGTGCCCAAGATTCTTTTGGTGCTGGTGGATCCAAAGTGATGTTGAAATCTGACAAGGCCTCTCGCATCTTTCGTGAAGTCATAGACATGGCATTGTCAGGAATCAAAAACATCGGCTTGGGTTTGTCCTGAAGCCAAAGTTGTGAGAAGGCATCCAAGATCTGGTCAGTGGTTTCAGTCTTTTGTTCATTGAGGCCACATTGCATGAGAATGCGGGTGACCTTGAACTTGGTGGCAAGGTCCATGATGACCAAAACGTAGTACTTCACCTGAGATTGCAAAGGAGTCCATTCGGTGCAGTCCATACCCACGCATTCCCAGGCTCTTGGCATTGGCCTCATGGAAGCAGGTGGCACCTTGCCACTGGATGACCCTCCCAACTTCAGAGCTGCACATTCATCACATTGTAGATCCATCGCAGCACGAACTTGCCAAGGTGCTCGGCCAGCATCTCGAAGAATGCGAGACAAGTTGTAGTTGCTGGGATGACCAGCAGCTCGATGGTACTTCATGAGGTGGACACGCCAAAGGCTCAGTTCTTTTCGTGACGGCTCACTGGACGAGGATGATTCTGCAAGGTAAAAGTCCAACCCTGGGCATAAGTCCATTGCCGGGCAAAAATCCAGGGCCCCATCCATCAGTCCAAGTGCTTGCAATTGCTCCTCAGGTTCAACAAAAGAGGGAAGTGGAGCTTGCAAGTAGGTGAGCCATTTGTCAGGGTAGAGCTCTTGACGCCAAGTCTGAGCAATTGACTTGCAAAGTTTCCAGGGGTAGTAGGCGCTCTTTTGCGTCTCCAAGCCCTGAATGCGATCGTGTTCATGACAGCCAGGGCACGTCTTTGACTTGTAAAGGTGGTAGAAGTGAGGGGATGTTGTGCCAATGGACCAGGCTTTTTGCAAGAAGCCCCCTCTCGCCGATCTAAGTCCATATCGGCAGCCATCAACTCGTGCAAAATGCCAAGGCTTGCCAAGCTTTTGAAGTCGATCTTGAAGATGAAGTATCATGGGCTCTTGCCAGCCATAGCATCTTCGAGGCCATTCCCAGAACAATTCAACCGAAGGATCGTCCTCGATGATGTCCAGGATGAAGGGGATCAGCTTTTTGAACATGGCACGTTCTTGACGACGTCGCCCTTCAAGCACCTGTCGGCGTTCAACTGTGTTGTAGTTGAGCGAGGTGAAAGGACACCAGTAGGTACATCTTGTGGAAATCCATATACGCCGGGGCTTTTCAGACTTGTACTTCTCCTTCAAGAGCTCATAGGTGTTGGTCTTGTACAAGTCGTAGCCCTGCTGCAAGTTGATGCGGCTGAATCGCAACCCTTCTGTGCGGCAGGCTGCAGTGATCCAGCTGTCAGGAGCACAGAACATCTCCCAGCCATCAACCCGGTCTCCTTGAAGAAAGTCTCGAAGACCAGTCTGAGCCGCCAAAGTCATCATGCCGAGAAAAGCCAAAGTGGCCTTGAGAATTCTCCATGGCAAAGGGTTTGACGAAGAAGGACTTGTAGAGGAACTTGGAACACTGCCATTACGGTCAAAAGATTCCTCCACCACATGCACTGATTTCTTTTTGTTTGGTTTTGGAGATTTTCTATTTTTCTTTGCATTGATTTTGGGATTTTCTGGAGTCGTGTTCTCGACAGGACTCATCATGAATTCAATCTCAGCTGCCATTGCCTGAGAAGTTTCGCATTGGTCCATATTGCCATAGGGCTCTTCAAAAAGCTGCTCATTGTCAATCTCATAGGCCCAAGAGAAGTTGCTCATCTTCGTAGCATCTTCGATCACAGGCTCTTGAGAAACTGGATCAGCACTCTCAGCATTCACTCCGTCTTGTTCCCCGCCGATGCTGGAACCAACTCCAGTTCGGGGTCTGATTTCATCAGCTCCTCCTCCTTGTGGCGCTCCATCGCAATCTCCATCAGCTTGGACTTCTCCTGCTCGCTCAGAAAACGCCAGACATCTGTTGGGCTCGTTGAGGATCCCTTTGGCGCTTGAGTGTCCGACTTCATCCGATCTGCATAGGTTTGCTTCAAGGTGTCCACGTGGCTCTTCAGACGCTTGAGCGTTGACTCCGTGGCCACGATCTTGCTCTCGTCGGTGATGATCTGGATCATCGTCTCGACCAAGTCCATGGTGGGAAACCTTCCACATGGCTCCAAGTCCTGGCGAAGCTGCTTCATCGCCAGCTCCACCGTCTTGTGGCAAGCTTGAGCTGCTGACTTGCCCTGGTAGCCCGCCCGTGGCACATAGCTCAGACGGACACCACAAATCTCGCACGTTCGCCACTGGCCATAGCCATTGGATTTTGGATTGGAGGACACGTGCTTGCCGAAACAAGGCCATGACGTGGTCTGAGACCTGATGTCCCTCGGATCCACGACAATCTCGCGGGAGTGGTCCAAAGGTGCTGGAGGCTTGCGTGACATGTGAAGCCGCGTCACCAGGAGATACTTTGGAAACTTGAACTTCACCGGCTACATTTTTGGGATTCTTGTTCAATTGACAGCGTCGTTGCACAAAAGAATCAAAAAGAGCTTGACGACTTGTTGATGAAATTTCACTGACATGTAAATCACCTTCAACATCACCTGATACCATCGCTAGTTCAAACCAGTCACACCCCTCCGATGGTGCTGAGTGGCAGTCCTGCTCCAGAAGTTGAGCTGCAAAGGATTCGTTGCCACCAGCCTCGGAGTCAGAGAGAGAGCCGAAGAGGTAGTAGGCAATGTTCACCATATAGTGGCCCTTGAGGTTTCTTTCCATGACATAGGGGACCGCTGGGTTATCATTGCCATTGACTGCATGACCATCGGAAAAATCCAAAATCAAACCAGTCTTCTTGAGGTGATCCATGCCAACCAAAATAGGTACCAACATGTCATCAGAAAACCATTCGCTGTTGTACTCCATGGGGTTCTCCAAAACATAGAGCTCAAAACATCGTGATGAATCCCAACTGGAATGAATGACTGCATGGTAAAGTGCTTGACCCCATTTCCCAGAACCATACCTGAAATAGGGACGCTTGTTGTAGTTGAAGCAAACTTTCAAATCAGGGTCAAATAGGCGAAGTTTGGAAATCAAACGTTTTGCTGATGCTTCCGGACCCGCAGATGCTGTAGCCCCACAATCCAACATGCCATACCCCGGTGGTGTTGATCTCTTGTTGTTGGACTCATCAGTTGAAAACAGTTCCAGGGGAAAAACATGAAAGGCTTGTGGTGAATCTTCAACATCCATCATCTCCAAGGCGTAGAAATCCATGCCATAAACATTCGCTGATGGTTTGAAGTATTTGCCTTTGGGGTTCTTTCCCTTGCCCTTGTTGATCATGAAAGAGTCAGGATACCATGAACCATCATCATGCCATGCAAACATGCCATCTTTGAACTTGCCCTTGAAACCCTTTCCTTTGGATTTTCCAGCTAAGTATGCATCGAGTTCAGCTTGAGACAAACTCTTACCATAGCCCTTACGAAAAGATGGGTGATGTTTGTCAGGACAATCTTTTTGAAGATGGGGACCGCCGCAAAGATAACAACGAATTGGATTTGAGGATGATGAACCACTACCAGATTTTCCAAAGCCGCGGTCACGTCGCAACTGCTGTGTGGCCTGTTGGGCCTGCGACCAAGTGCGACGTGCTTCAAGGGCCAATGACTCAGCCTGTTTCTCGGCCTCCAAGGCCTCAATCAGTGCAGGATCGGTCACATCATCCACCCTCTCGTCAGAGGGACCAGGTTGCTCTCCAGTTGCTGCAGCAGCCTCCCAAGCTTCGGAAGACCAATCTTCTGATTCATTCCAATCATGCCACATTGCTTGATTGTCACTCCATGCATCGTAAGGCCAGGAACCCTCATGCCAAAAAGAGGATAGGGGTGCTGAACTCACATTTGAATGCCACTTGCCATTGCCACCCAATTGTTCGTCCCACAAGGTTTGTAAAGCCGATGAAACACTAAGGTAATCCAGCTTATTCCCTGTGGTGGCCAAAACGTCACGCCACTCTTCCGGTGATAGGGATGCAGCAACAAGCAAACGCCAACCTCTCAGAACATCTAAGATGAAGGAGTCCATGGCATTCAAAGCTGGTGCAGGTTCCACTGTTCTCGCATGCGCCTCAGAGCGCCTTGATGGTGAAGCATGAACTGAAGGTCGTGCTGGAGAAGCTGGTGAACCTCGAGCTGGTGACTGTCTCGACTGTCCTTCACCGGCTTCTGGATGATCTGAACCTGTCTCAGACTGTTGTGGCACCTGTTGATATCCATCAGGGGCCTGTTCATCGTCATCAGGGCCCTGCCAGGAGTTCCATCGCCAGTCCCAACGCTGACGCCAGTACCAGTCATGATCCTCTTCATCAGAATCTTTGGAAATCTCTGGCAAGTCGAAATTGCGACTTGAGGGGTCTACTCCGTCCCTTTCCTCCTTCAGTTGCAAAAGTGCCTCTTGAAACTCTTCAAATCCCAGTGTCTCACGAACCAGAAAAGTTCCGATATGTTCCTGAGGACGACGACGGAAATTGAAGTATTCGGACATGATGGCAGCAGCGTTCGGTAAACTTCTACGAACCAGAGGTGATGAGGCTAAACGTTGTAGCAACAGGGAAACTCCCCTTTCTCCAGGGAAACTCCCCTTTCTCCATCAAACTCACGCTGCGACCAAGACATGGCTAACAGCCTTGCAGATCCTGTCAACTGTCAAGCGAGAAATCAGTTTGCTGGCAGCATATTTCCGCTGAGACGACTTAGTCGATCCAACATACCAACCAATCTCCTTGACATACCTTCGCCAAGTCCGCGAAGATCCATCCCAAGAGGGAATTGTTGCATCCGGCTTGTCCTTCACAGACATCAGCCACCGCAGAGCGCACCCAGGAGCAGATTGGGCTAAGGCCCAGGAGCAACTCGTGCCCCGCTACCAATGCAGGTAGCTGATTCCAGAGCACCAATTCCCAAAAGTCCAAATGCAAGTGAGTTGCAAAACGTACTGCTCGTCGAAAAAAGGATGGATGTCTTCTAATGAATTGGATATGTATTGTTTGTGTCACCTCTCTGACCAAAGCACACGCAAGGCAAACTCGATGCCTTTTCACTCCATAGCCAAGCGTCAGGCTATCACAAGAGGGCCCTCTATGAGATTGGGCCAAGCAGCAACATGAGAAAACTCAACAACTGTACCTGGCAAGTCGGTCATGAATTGAAACAACTGCAGATACCCATGCAATAACCACGGAATAATCCTTGAGTTGAATATCTATTTAAATCTATTTTTAATCTAATTGATGGGATACAACTTGATACAACTGCCCAAAAGGAAGCGCGCCCGCATCAACCCCCAGTAGCTCCACCAGATTTGGACCCCGGGCCATTTTCTGTATTGAAATGACCGCATCTTGGGGGTTATACCGTGAAAAACCCCATGGTCACAACCGAAATCATGAGATTCCTAGAAACCACTCTCTTTTAGTCAGAGAAAACCTGACATATCGCTATGAAATATCCTTAATATCATATGGCTGGTTAGTTTCATCATCAATTACTGTATACAGTAGATGATGGTGCCATTGAAATCTCCATTGTGTCATATTACAGCATGTCCCTATCCCCAGGAAATATCCCTGTATATAACACATCCCAAATTAATATCATACATATGTGTGTTTAGTTATCCATTCCCATTATATCGTTACATATGCATATATATATATATGCACATTATATCATAGTGTCTATCTTTCAAAGTACCCAGTTATAACTGGATTAAGCCTCCGTGCCCTATATAATTATAACATATTATAACTAGGGTTATAAATTATAAACAACTTGCAATTCCAGGGGTGAAGCATCAAGCAAACCCATCCCCCTGCTTTCATTCCCTACGTCCGCCATGGTTTCTGGTGGGGTTTTTAAATCCTAGGGGTAAGGATGGGCAAGGGATGACTCAGTCCATCCCAAACATCATATTGATCGCTATTCATCCCAGATAATCCCAGTAGGTCATGATATCAAGCACTATAAGCCAAACATAGCCAAACCATACTATTTAATAGCCAGTATCCCCTCTATTCCCCACTAAAAACCTTGATCATCTTGATCTGTGTTGAACCCAACATCAGATAACGGGTCCCAACCTTGCAGAAGTTCGCCGTCAACCTTGACGATGCGGTCGTACATGCCGATCTGTCTGCTGGGAGGATTCGCCTCCTAGGCGCTGTGCATTGCTCGCTGAGCTGGCTAAGCGAGAAGGACCATTCATAATTCCGTGCAGAATGTAATTACGGCTGGATCCTTAGGGAATATATATATAATATGTAATTACATCTGTATGCCATTATAGGGGTCAAAACCATGATTACCAACCAATTTGTGTTGCGACTCCCTTTTTCAACTGTATGTTCTTGAGGGTGCAGCAAATTGCAGATGAGTTGTGCAAACAAACTTGGCCAACAAAGGCGACCGCATCAGCACCTCTTCACATATTTTCTCTGCCATGGTTTCTTGCCAATTCATGGCATGACGTGAAACCGTGGGCATGCGGCGACAACTCAAAACTGATGGCTTTCGTCATATTCCAGCAACCTTTTGGTTTAACCTTTTGGTTTTGGTTTCTAGTGTTTTCAAGGTTTCTCTTTCAAGCCTTTCCCAAGCGTATTTTACTTGTGCATACTTGTGTATAAGAGCCACAGTTGCCCCGGTCCCCTCTTCGCAACCAAGGGCTACATCTGATTGCTTTTCCATTGAGATTGTTTAATTGGCAGCATGGTTCCGAGCTTGCTCTGCTATCCCTTACTATCCCCTGGCAATCTATGTTCCAACCTGGTGTCTGGCTAATGTAACATCTTCATTTGCAAGGCTGTTTGACCACTGGAGAAGACATATGCTGGTCGCAGAGCCAAGGGGCGTTCCAGTCTGAAACAACTGTGGCCGAAGTGTTGCCGACCTTGCCAGCGGTGGTTGAAAAACGACGCATGAAGCTGCGTCCAAAGCTAGGGTTCAAATCTTTAGTTATTTTGTCTCTATTCATCAGCCAATTTCAACACAAATCTCAGATGGCGATGTTCAGCCGTCCAGATGGGGAGATTCACCAATCATCAACTGATTAGCAGCGTCAACCACAAGAAAAAAACTATTCAGTGGTTTTGATGGTACCTGGAACTCTTTAGCTCCGTGTCTAGCAGAAATTTTCGCCATCTCTGGTTTGCTTCCCCAACATCATTTCAATGGAAAAAAAACTATTGGGCAACTGGGATCGTCGCAGCTGGAAACCTGAGGTCCAACTCTACCCCCCGCGGTCTGATTGGTGGTTGAGCCACCACCCTTCTAAAAGTACCCGCAGCACGTGTGCTACGCCCCACAGGTACTTCACTAGATAATTACACTTTCATACAGTTTTTTCATGTTTTTCAGGGGAGGGTTTCTTTAGGGTTCATTTACTGTAGGTTTTTCTAGGCTTTGTTTAAGGGTTTATGTAAAAAGTGCCGAAAAATGCCGAAAACCAACATTGCCAGACAGCCGAATCCCCGCAGAGGGTCATCAAACACGTTTCTGGGTTGGCAAACCCAGAGACATCAAGTTATAACATCCCAACATAGTGGAAGGCTAGAAAGTACTGTAAAGGTGACCTAAAATGAGGGTTCCGACAATCATCTCGAAAGAGTTTGGGGCATAGCACAAATGATGGCCGTAAAAGTAGTAGTCAATGGGGATCAGCATCCCAACTGAAACTGAAACCACCAACCAGCAATTCACAAGGCACCTTTTACATGGTACCTCATGCAGGGCTCCATCGTCTGACAAAGGATGGCCACAGGCGACAGGTCCAAATCTTCGAATGATTCCATTGGAGGATCATGGAGATACTTGTGTATCAAACTGATCGAAGCCACTCATATCATCCAATAATTCCATATAATTCCAATATCTGGGGCGACATTTTGCCTCACATTATTCATACATCTGAGAAGTTCCAAGAAGTTCGGAGGTAAAAAATTACACCAAACCATTCCCAAAAAAGCTGACCGTCGAGCAGCAATCACCATCTCCGGATTGGCTCGGTCGAAGGCTTCGTCGAGTTGTTCAGGTTTGCATCTTAACTTCCTGGCGATGGGCCGACGGACGTTATCACATGGACAATTGATTGGACATGTTATGTGATAAACATGGGGCGCTTTCTTATGATATAATTTATGATATACAAAAGTATGCGTTGTATGATATATAAGTATGATATATACTGTAGTATAGTATGATGTTTTCTGATGACATATATATTGTTGACTTGTTGAATCCTTTTCCGCCTGACACCCACACTCTGAACCATAAAGGTCGCAATGGCTGTGACACTAGAGAAGGCACATAGGCCAGCATGGACAGATCCCTTAGATTAAGATCATTACAGGATTCAGAACATGCTCCCTCAGCATTCCTTGGCACACCCGACAAAATGCTGTCCGGAGTGGACATACCTATAACTGTAACCTTCTGAAAACAAAGCGTATGACACACATGACTGTTCGCCTTGGATTTTGAACATCCAACTGCAGGGTTCTCCTCTATGTGTGATTATATAACATCAATTAATTATATGCAACCACAGTTATAGTCTAGTGATTATACCCAAGTAATCCCAAGTATATATCCCAACTTATGGGATTTACTTCCATGGTTGTACCCACTTACAACTCCAACTGCACCCCATCTGCCGCCCTCCCCTGGTCCCACCCTTTTCGCCAAGCCACACATCATAGACGTAATTTCCAGGATGGGATTCGATGATGTCCATGGGCGACGCCTACAGTAGCTCTCCAAATTTTCAAAAACACATAGATGAAACAGGCCTCTCTCTCTCTCATTTAGCTGGATTTTGTGAGATTCATGTTCGAAGACGTAAAAACACCTGCCTGGTAATTATCCAAAACGATACAAAACGGCACCCGTGAAGGTGCTTGGATGTGCTTGGTGCACCGGCCTAAGCACCCGGGATGTCAAATCACCGCCACTTTCCCAGGTCCCATTGCGGCGGACCCTCTCATCGATGCCAACTTCTGCTGACCCGCCCGCCTGGAAAGGATGGGACTCGTCCCACGTGGCTTCCGATTCTCTGGAATGGCGTTTGGTAGAGGCGTTAAAAATGCGTTGGCTAGAGTTTTAAAATGTGTTCAATAGCTTGGCACTTTCATGGAAAGCATTTGTTCCTCGACGTGAAGTGAATCCACCATTGTGTGTAATTTATCTCATGGAATGTGATGTAATGTATGGAAAGGTGGAGGGCATCAGATCGGCCAGCACCAGCCCAACCCCTCTCCCAGCTCCTCTACGCAGCAGGTTTCGCACAACATGACCGATGTGAAACGTGGCCAGTTGCATGAACCCGGGGCGGGAAATTTGAGGCTGAAAAGGCATCGAAAGGGTGATATATGGGGTCATATCATTGATATATATATATATATGTGTGTGTGCACATTAGCGCTTTACTTACACACATAAATAATAATTAAAAACAAATAAATAAATAATATTAATATTATTATAATAAGAATGATAAAAAATGTATGTATATATATATAAATGCATATCATCTGATATATATATATATATATATATACATTACAATGATCTTATATATATATGCATATCATCTGATATATATATATATATACATTAAAATGATCTTATATATATATATATAAACATCATATGCATTACATATATATATGTGTATCATCATATATGTATGTATAAATACAATTTAATATATAAATCATTATAAATACACCACTATCTATTTATATATATATAAATCATATTATTTTCATTAAATATATATTATCATCAAAAAATATTATTTATATATAATGATATAATTATATTTATCATTATTTATCACTGTCAAGACATGCAACTGTTCATCATGCAAGAGCCGCTCACATATTTTCAAGCATGGGGATGTCTGAGCAGGTGCTGGCCTAGGCCAAGGTTAGGCCAGCCAAACTTGAATGAAAAAGATGTACATTTCAGTAATCTAAATCGACCATGGGTGCACGATGTTCTTGCTGGAAGTAGTGATTCATGACTGGAACCCTGTGAGATTTTGCAATTTCCAAATGGCCAAAAAGAAGATAACACGACGGTGCTGAGCAATGGTTCGGCGCAGGTTGTGCAAGGCCACAGGCATAGGAATGGTTCCCAGAAAGTCTTCTAAATCCTGCAACTGATTGAGAACTTCGTGGGCGATCTGCAGATTGCGGTCGGCAATCAAGACTGGTAACAAAATTCTTGAAGCGAATGATTAGGTACTCTGAGTACCAGAGACATGAAAATCAGCAAAGCATATGCACGGTGGTGCTGGGGATGGATGGAGGGAACGTTCACGGCTCAGAGCCAAAACTAGTGATGATAAACAGAATTATCATCGTCATGCGCATGCAAAGAACAGTTGACGGTCAATACTTGACCTCAAAGTCTCACCCGTGATAATGAATTGTCATTCCGATTCTCTTCATGAAAATTAACTTATCACTGTCAAGACATGCCACTGTTCATCATGCAAGAGCCGCTCACATATTTTCAAGCATGGGGATGTCTGAGCAGGTGCTGGCCCCCCATTCAGAAACCTGCTCACACATTAGAGCTTCGATCTCTGATGAAGGCAATTGGATCGACATTGATCCTGAGGGATGCTTCGAGGTCTTCACACTTTCCTCGTGATGGCGCATCAGCCACGTTCGAGTGACTTGCCACCCTCTCATACCAGCATACTGCCCTGACAGAAAGTTCCCACTGGAAGACCACCTCGAACAGCCAGTTGTCTGCAGACAGGCTGCCTGATGCCGAAACCAGTCTTGCCAAGGAAGACTCATTGTCTAAAAAGACCACTATTCGATCACAAGGTCTTACAGCGAAGTTTGGCAACAGCTGCGTCACACCAATGGCAACAGCAAGGGTTTCCGGCTCGAAAATCATGCCCTTCTTCCCATCAGGGTTTAGCATGTTCACACCCGACGGAGATAACATCTCGGAAAAGAATGAAAGCATCTTCCCCTCTCCGTCGAAAAGAATTCCGCCCAAACCACCGGCTCCGCTCTCGAAACTAGCATCGGTGTAAAGATGGAAAACTTGAACAACATCCGACAAGACTTTGCGAGGCTCCCCACGCAAGACATGGTCCCTCAAGAAAATGAGGCTGCGTCTCAACTCTTGGTCTACATGGGCATCTCCAACTACTCCTTCATACCATGACAACTGTCTCATATGAGCCCCGGTCAGGCGACCAAATATCTGGGCCTCTGCAAACACAAGGCGGCCCCGCAGGACCCTCATTTCTGCTGCCGACAGGTGGCCCGGGCTCAAGACATCATCGATGGTCGAAACGAGCTCGCGAACTCGACTCTCAACATTGCTTATCACTGCCGCCCCCAAATGGGCGTCAGCCAGGTCAATCTGGACACCCAAAATGCGGGAGACGGGTCCAAATCCGCCCTCCTTTTCATCTGATGTTTCCCAGCCCAAGATCTGGAAAAGAAGTTGTTGTGCCATATCCACATGTCTGGATTCATGAACTTCAGCCACCAGAAAGTAGTCATCGAAGTACACTGTCCAGTGTAATCCAAAAATCACCACTGCAATCCTCCAGGTGGCATAAGAAGTGCGGCAGAATCCCATGACCGATGCCCGTGCACCGAATGGCAGCACGAGCGACTGAAAAGCCTGGGGAACCCCATCCTTTGGTGAGAACACAGCTATGTAGGCGTCATCAAGAGATTCCTCAGAGATAGGCAGATTCTTATATGCCTTCCTCAAATCAATCGCCTTACAAACCAAGCTGTCCCCAGGCCGGGATTGCATTCGCCTCACCAAACCAGCACAAATCTGGTCCACGCCCATCGGCTGGATTGTCTCACTGCAGGCATTGGTGACATTGATGAGCGACTCCGAGAAGTCGTCTATGGGACGAAATTTCAGCACCTTACTGCCATCCGAATGGGTTGAGGACTGCCTCACTCCAAACCGCCTCGTGAGAACTGCATGTTTGGGGGAAGTTGATCAAAGTTGAAGGGGCCCCTCAGCCACCCTTTGGCACACTCATCGGCCGTGGCATCATATATCTCCTGGCACATTTCATTATCTCTGGACTTCTTGACTGCGCTCCGCGTTGCCTCCCTAGCCAATGGAGCCATATCACGAACTTGCTGTGGGAGGAGAGTTGCATGCAGCGCCTTCTCCAAGAAGACCCCCCCCGCAGGCATCGGCCCCATCAAATCGAAGCCCTTTGCAATGTCCTCTGCTATGGTTTTGTCCGGAGACCCAGAAGCCTCAACCATCTCAGCAAAAAGTTTCATATTTTTGTTCTTGAGGATCTCCTTAGCATGTGGTGGGGAGCCTTCTATGCCACTGCACTTGGAGGCCTTGAGCTCGGCAATCCTCATAGACCACTTTCTCATAGCCGCAGTTCTGTCTCTTGCCATGCAATGGGTCGTACAATTTGCCATCTTGTGAAAGAGCTCTTTTAAGACTTCGTGGACTCCATCTAGGAAGTGTCCAGGGTGACATAGCCCACTTGCTCTCTTCACAAAGTCCATTGGCTCCCATGGCACCCCGTACTCTTTTTGCCATGTCTCAGTAGTTTGCCCCGCTGTGACCCCCAGTAAGTAGGGGCTTGAGTTTGCTTAGCATGAGCCGGGATGACCGGGGCACTTGGGCAGGCCTTGCAGGTTGCAGGGAGGACCACGGCTGTTTCGAGGATTTTGGGCAGTGAATTGATAAATAAACGACTTTGGCCCTGATATATGCAGAACATGGCTGTGCTCTCGCATCAAAGGTCGAAGGCGTTTGCCGCGTACAGGTATGCCAAGGCTGGCCTTGGCTGCCAAGTTGAGGTTCAGAGAATCATCTTGCATCATCTCTGTAGGCGGCGCGAGTGCACCATGAGCCAGCAATGTCGAACGAAGGCATGCTGCATATTCACGGCAAAGTTGTAGAGGATATTCAACCTCCAACGCCGTAGCCCAACCGGATTGAGTGTGGCCCCATTTTTCATGCGGGTGCCCTTGGTCGCATTCTCTGTTGAGATGGTCGAAACAGCTGTGATTGACCAAAAGCTTGGTTCTCTTGGCTCGTTTGCTCCCAAACATACAGTGATGAAAGAAAACTTCATGCAGGTAGTGCTGAACACTACTCAAAGCATTCTTCAAGAAGGAGGTTTGCCACATATGGGACCTCTTGGGATTTTCGAGGGAACACAAACTTCCTTCTCTTGTTGCGTATGCCAAAATTTCACAACTGAGGCGGCAGAGAATGTTTGCAGTATCAACTCTTGCTTTGTCCCGATCTGAGAGACCTGGAAGTCCGTCAGGATGTTGCAGGCTGCCCAGTGGTTTGGGAGAAGGACCATGTTTGCGTTTGATTCCCACAAGGAGGACCTAAATGTATAGCTGCTACTCGAGGCTGCTCCAAGATGCGCCACAAAAGGTCTTGTCCACTCAGGATGACCGGCGATTTCACCTGTTTGGTGACGTGAGCATCAATCCCAGCGCTGTGCTGGCAACCCATGCGCCTCACGGCCGCCGTCAGGCCAGCGGTACCTGAGAACACCTCGATGAAGATGAGGTCATTCAAAGGAACTTGGTTAACTCGATGGAAAACTTGGTAGAAAATTCATCTGTACCATCAAAACTGCGTTTGACCCCTTGGCCAAACTGGGTTTTCGCAGCTGTTCCCTCAGCAGGATCTCGCAGGGCCTGCTGTGTTGGACCCTGCTCTGCCTGAGATTGTCACGAGGAAGGTGATGTGCATTGGTGCGCTGAATGAGCACCAAATCACCGCATGCAGCTGTGAACGCCCTTTGAACACTGTTGCCCAACGGCTGCAAATTCACACCCTTTTGACAGGTTGAAATTGTAGCACATTCTGCGGCCTGCCTTGTCCTGCTGATGCAATCCGACGAGTTCAGTGGGCATGCGGCCCTTTGATGCCAGTTTTCCTTTAGATCCTTTCCCACGTCCCTTGCCCTTGACTTTGTCTTTCTTTCGGATGTTGAGGGGCTTGGTTGCCTCATCTCTCTTTGTGTCACTCGGCTTGGGAGCAGGTGCATGAGCTTTGTCAATGGGCATGGGAACCAGGTGGAACATAACCGTGGGATCGGCTTGCAAATCATTGAGAGCCTTGTTCAGAGGAAGAGATCCATCTCCACGTCGGCGGAGGCTGGTCGCCTTTTCAGCCATCTGTATCCAGGCAGTTAGTCGGTGCGCAAGATTTGCTCCATGTTTGGGGGCTTGAATCCAGGTGGTGCTGGTGACTGCAAACGATCCAGCAGTGCCCTGTGCCATCTTTCCATCTCTCTGAATGAACAGACCTGCATAAGGTCACAAGCCAAAGATCTTCGAGTGAGCGCCTGGTGCAACTGCAATTCATTACTGATTTGACACTTATCTTTGGGAACCGTGTCTTTGACCAGCAAGTTGACGTTGTCAAGGACGATCTCTTTGCCAGGCTTTTCACGTGCAACTTCACTGGCCCTGGTGGTGAATCTGTGGGGTTCCAAGTACAGTGGTGAATCACTTTCCAACATGCGGGCCACATAATCGTATGAAGCATGTGCACACTCTAGAGGACCGGTCAGTTCGACTCCTTGAAGCCGAGCTCGCTGCTGCTCGATCCTGGTGGCTCTCTCAGCAGGAACTAACTCAGCCTTTTTGCCAACATCCGATCCATGAAGTGTGGTTTTGATTTGTGATGCCAATGCACATAGCGTTTGTGCGTCAAACATGAGCCTCCTCATTGAACTGAGCTGTCCGACTGTAACTTCGTCGGGGTTGTCTGAGAGTAAACCCTTGAGAGAGTCGTCAGGTGGCACTGTCCCTGGCGTGGTAATTGAAAATGCCAATTTCGAAAGATTGATCAAGCCCTGGTCCTGCAAACGCTCAAGCTGTGCTTGAGTCAACCCGTGTTCTATGGCACGGGCATTGAATGCAGCTGAAGACTCTAGGATAGTGGCCATGGCCCGCTGGTGTCTGTAGGCTCAGACAGAAATTTCACTGAAGGAAACCAAAAATTAAATTGCAAATGATTGCAGCTGTTCACACGAAGTCTCTGATGTTACCTGTATAGGTCATTTGATCCAAACTCGGACAAAAGTATAATCACACTGCATTCATGCATGCTGACTGCACATCGTGTGTTCAGACTTTGAAACCACTCCAGTTCAGAAGCACACATTTATACCCGCAGCTGCCTGTGAAGTTTAGGAGGCTACATCGCACTCAGCTCTGAAGTGCGCGTTTGACAAGTGCGCTAGCTGAAGCTGTCTGCTCCCCTTCCTGAGTTGGCCCGTTTCCTTTGTCACGCTGTTGGCATTTCATTGCATCGACGAAGAACTCTCTGGTGAATGGTTTATACTCTTTGCTGAGGGCTCGGCCGCAAATGAATGCTTTCCTGTGTCCAAATCTTGCCAGGGCATGAACCAACTTAGATCTTGTGTGTTGGTGCAGCTCGCATCCAGGATGCCAGTGCCCGGCAGGTCGCTCACTTGTAGCCAGCTCAAGAATAATCTGCTCGGCTTCTGACTCACCTGAACACGACTCGGAATCTGATGACTGGATCTCAATGGAGGCAAGATCTGCTTGCATGCCGATGAACTCTCGTGGAGGCAACTCCTCTTTCACAACTTCAGATCCTGCACCACTGTCAATTGGAGATGTTGGTGTCGGTATGACATCGAGCCCTTCCGTCGGGTTACGGCACGACCAAGCTGGAGAAGCAGGTTCACCAATCTGTAAGTTCTCCCTTGCCTGGGCATGACTAACAGGTTGCACAGGTGTGAAAAGGCTTGATCGTGTGACATCAGGTGAGAATCTCTGCTCGAGAGTTCTCAGTGGTGCGCTCTGCAAATCTCTAGCATACACTTCCAATGCCCCTTTGTTGACTTGATGGTGTCCCAAAATCAACCTGTCGTCTGGTGAAGCTCTGTATCTACTCAGCATCACCAATGTTGTAGCCTTGCACCCGTGGGGAGTGAATCCCGTGGTGTCAAAGTCTGGACATTGGGACATCATCCCTTTCAGCCACTTGTCGACCTCAGAGGTTGTCACGGCTCTACCCGACCAGTCTCCAATGGCTCTTGGTGCCGGCAACAATGGGCTTCCATGTTTCCACACCTTAAAGTCGATGCCTGTCTGTTTGGCGACATCCACAAAGTCTCTGCCCCAAGCACGAGCACCAATTCCCTTGATTGGAGCTATCAACGGGAGATGCGCCCCAAGACGATTGCCCGTCGCTCTCATTTTATGAGAGTCTGAGTGGAGCTCGATGAAGCCCAAGGACCCATCAGCGTTCTCCTGAACCTCATCAATGATGGCTCTGGAAATGCGTCTGAGATCACCAAATCTCGCCCTTGCATAAACCGCAAAGAGAAAGACCCCTGCTGCAAAGCGATCAACCAGTGCCCTCTTCTGATCTGCCAGGAACATTTCCAAAAACAAGAGGGACTTCACATTCAAAATGCTTGACTGCCTACGCAAAGGTCTTGATTGCTGAGAGGATCGGATGATTCCGCAAACCCAAGCAGAGTTGAATGCCGTCAAGTCGCAGTCGAGTCCCACAACATGGTGCATGAACTTCATCACTTCGATGAAACCTTTGAAGGCCGTGTGCCCAGTAGATGCCTGACATAATTTTTGATCAACTCTGCAGACACCGGAAATGGTTCTCTCCTAGCATCTTTCGAGGCCCAATTCACAAAGCGTGAGATCTCGGAGAGTCTTCTGGTCAGGGTGGATGGCGATTTGCCTCCCAGCACCTCCGACACAATCTTCACCCTCTCATTGAAAGGGAGCCCGTGGATCTGCAGACCCAAGTCAAATGCAGAGTAGTTGATCGAGATCAGGGCTTCCCATTTTTGTGGCAAAATCTCCAGTTGGGAGCCCTCACTCAAATGACATGCTCTCTTGGAATTGAATGCTGTTGCATCACCGAAAAATGTCGGTTTGCTCGAAATCACAGCAGCCTGTTCTCTGCGCCCTACAACTGATGCTGACTCTGGTTCAACATAATCCCACCCAAACCGGCTGCACGGATGGAAATTCCAGAGGATCACTTTGATCAAAAATCCAACTCATGCTAGGTTGCTCCCAGGGCATGGCTATACCAATCGGCCTAGACGTCGAAGCATGAGCATCTTGAATTGCACCATGAATCCTGCCCCGAAACTCTGCCGAAATGTCGTTGCGCTCAAGTTGAGCACTTCTCCCGGTTCCAGGGCCACTCAGCGTGTCGCCCTCTTCGACGAACTGCATTGCCCCCATTTCTGCACCTGCCAGAAAACACGGGACACCGAAGATCAATTAAGTGACTCAAACATGGAAGAGAAGATAACGCAGGCATAAACATGAAGTACACGTGCCACACACGTTGCCTGGTCCCACATGCACCGCGCAATGCAAGAAGGTGACAATAGTCTATTGGATACTGTCATATCTGAAAATGACAAACAAGACATGCACATCAATAGGCTAAGACCGGTTACCTGCATCACACTTCTGGCCATCTGAGAATGCCGCCACAGGTCACACGACCAGATCTCAAACTCTACCGATGAGAGACCTAGAGTAGAAGTTACAAGATTCAGAAATCCAAGTGAAGAGAACAAGTAAAGTCATAAAACATCAACGAACCATCAAAAACGGGACTGGGTCCATCCGGCCGTCCCTCAACCAGGTCCCGTCCAGAAGATGTCGATGTCCCGTCAAACCTTGTGTGATCACATCGATGCACACACATACCAATGTCTTATTGTGCCCTACATCGGACAGAATCAGACCCAACCGAACATCACAAGTTGAGGTCAGGGCAGGACCCTCGTGGACCTGATTCCAAAGGCAAGGAACGGATATCACACTTATTCCACTCACAAACCGTCACGTGCATCCTTTTAGTTTTCGCTACGCTTACGCGCGAAAAAATAAACTTAAAAACGGGACTAGCTTAGTCCCTTTTTTTGACGTTGTCTGAAGTCAGAAGAGACATCCGGCTCCCTAGACATTGAGACATTTCTCAAACATGATGAGTGTATCTCATGCGACGTTCACACTCGCCGTGCATTTCCAGCTCAGCACATCTCTGAGTGGAGCACTTCGCAATCGCCAGCCTGAGGACATTCCCCAGCAGGCAAAAACTCATTCCACATGTCACTGCCGTAAACCCAATGCATAATCACGCAGGCGGATGTGTGTATGATCAAATCACAAAACAGCACTATAAGTCAAACACTTCAAACACCCCGGCCCGTAATAAGAGGCCCGCGGAAAAAGGCTGCAGGCTGGACCAAACCAGGACATGCATACATGTGCATTCCAAACATGTGCAGTGACATCCACTGAGTGTAGGTTGAGTGACATCCACTGCGACCAAATGCACATGCCGGTCACCCAGCTGCTGTCCTTTGACCTCGAATCGTTCAAAAGAAATTGGCCAAGCCTACTGTGCAACGACTCTGAATTTGGAATTGCAAGAAATTATTGGCCTATGTCCGGAGGCAGCTCACATTCACGAAATTGCTACTCGCACACTCTAGCAAGGAGGCACTATGCAAAATGTTTGGCATTGAAAAAATCGGAGAGACTCTGAACCGCTACCAACAAAACTTCAGAGATTCATTCCAATCTCTCAGAGAAAAGAAAACTCTTCAGAAACTCTTTCGATCTCTGTTGAAATCCTAAGCCTTTGAACTCCTCGACAACAATCACATCCACGGCACTCCTCTTCGAGCGGTCATCCCCTAGAAAGATGCGAGGAAGAAATCTGTCGCTGCAATTCGTGAATCCGGTCTTCCAAGGCACCAATGCGGTTGCTGAGAACATCGAAGTTGCTGGAGACATTGTCCCAAAGTTCCCAAGGGCTGACCCGACGCAGCACGATGATTCTGTACGTAGAATCAGGCTGCATATCAGAGGATGCAACGTGCTGGGCTGTGAGCACCAACTCAAGATCTTCTGCCTGACGTTCGCTCCATGTCTGCAGCGAAACCTTGTTGGGAATGTTCAGGATCTTGGTGGTGAAAGGGATCTGACCGGTGGCATAAGAGAAGAGGCGCAAGTCGCCCATCGAAGCCCCAGCCAAGGAGTGCAAGAGCTGCCCCACCTCATTTCGAGGATTTACCTCGATACGAAAATCAGTGGGCCGGCTCGGCTCCGGTGACGAATCCCTCGGAGGAGTCAGCATGGCTAAGGGGAGAACGTTCGCGGCTCAGAGCCAAAACTAGTGATGATAAACAGAATTATCATCGTCATGCGCATGCAAAGAACAGTTGACGGTTAAAACTTGACCTCAAAGTCTCACCCGTGATAATGAATTGTCATTCCGATTCTCTTCATGAAGATTAACATATATATGTAATTATATATATATGTATATGATTATTTATAATATATATATAATGTTATTTAAATATATATATATATTGTGAATCGGAGATTTCCTCCGATATGTGCTTCTTGATGGTATAGGAACGGGTTGTTCTCGTGTGGGTCGATGATGTCCAGTTCACAGCTTCGGCATGGCTTTCTGTTTTGATCGGACAATTGCAGTAAGGTGGCTTGAGCCAAAAGGGTTTTGCAATTGACCCTTTGGCTGGAGTACTACCTGGCTATTTACATGGGGATACTTTTGTATGCTGTGGCATAGTCCCCATTCGCACCCCCCACGCATGACTGACTTTGTCAGTCACGCGCAGGAGAGCCAGTTTAAATCTCCCATTCTGCAATTTACATTTGTTGAATTAGAGAGTTGAATGTTCGTTCAGAACTTCATATCTACAATGCGGATTGCTACGATCTCTACAAAAAGAAAATGAAATAAAGGTTCTGTTCACATGCACGCTGACAAGACGTAGTCTATGTACAGCATTGAGGTTCATCCGATGTGGCGTAGCCAGCATGGAATTCCACTCAAGCATGAAAATAAAATCGAAATACGAAGATGACTATGGAACTAGGTTTACCTTCCCGTTCCTTCGTCGGTTGAGATGTAGACCGCTGTAGAAACTCAGCGTTTCGTGCAATGATGTTCAAAAAATGTGGTTCTAAATTAGCCGGCTCAGAGTCCTCTCAGAAATCATTCGAAATGAAGTAGAGGTAAATCTCGAGCAGTGATTGCTGCCTCGCTTCGCCAAGTTCAATCAGGACCTATGCAGAGGTCATGTCGACTTATCGTTTGTATCCCCATCCATAGTATCCTTGATGATTCCAGTCGCCACCACGGTGTGAATAAGATCTTTCACCTTTTCCTTGGTCTTTTCCACCCTTCTGTGGCGGAGGTACTGGAGCTTGTTTCGGCGGAGGAGCAGTTTCGACGGTTCTCCATGTTGCTGATGATGATGCTTTCGCTTTTGACACTCTGCCCAGTGTCGGTGCTGCTTTCGGGGCTGCTTTTGATTTGCCAGCTGCCGGGTTAGCACGTTCACGATCGGCAGGAACCGGGGTATCAGCAATCGCGACCAGGTGGGCTTCTGACATGTGGATGCCCCATCTTGGTCGTTGATCATCCCGTTGCTTGATGTGGTTATAGTCATTGATTGCATCATACAGCTTTTGGAGTAGAGGTCGCGGCAATTGTCGGCCATTTTGAAGGATCAGATGCAAAACTGATATTCTTCGAAGTGGTGGTCGAAGAGCACACACTATGTCAACTGGATTCAATGTGATTGTGTCTTGAAAGTCGACGTTCCTGAAGAAATAAACAGCATTCACTTTGTATGCACCTGCAATGATTCTTCTGACCATGACGTCTTGTCGGTCAAGGGCTTCGCGGGCAGCTGTGGTCTTTCTCATCTCATCCCTCGATGTGTCACGTTTCGACAGCTTCTCCATCTCTTCGTCGTAGAAGATGTTTTGCAAGTCTTCATATGTGTAACCACATTCAAGGGTATATACGAGAAGTCGCTTGAGTACCACTGCCCCATAGTATGCATTGACGAATCCCTCTTCCCCGATGTCATCCTTTTGTTGTGGTCGGCCGATTTCTTGGTATAGCTCCTTCATCTGTTGTGCAGTTGGTTCGATGAGTTCACCATCTTCATCCTCACCTAGGTATGGCACTCTTGAATCCAAGTCCATCCTGAATTTCTGGTTCTGTTGAAAGTGTTGCCATGCCGTTTCGATGTCCCCACAGAAGTTCCGTTGGAATAGTCTGTAGATCCTGACGATATGCAACCCAATTTGTAACAGGAGGATTTTGATGAGCTCCGGCTGAGCATCTCCAATTGTACATGGTTCGATTGGTAGGACCTTTGATCCAAACTCAACCCTCTTCAGCCATTTGGGGTACTCAATCACTGCATCATGAGCTTCTCCGGCCTCGTACTCTTCAATGTTGATTTCACCGTCTTCTTTCTCTTCATCGTCATTCTCATCAGTTTGTTTTCCTTCCTCATTGAGAAATTTGTCGGCCTCATCTTGCTCTCTGAAGTCTCTTCTCTCATCATTGATCATTGATGTCGCCCTTCTTCGAGGCTTGATCATCATTTTCTTCTTCTGGTTGAGGTTCTTGTTCTGGACTCTTCATGGTGACGTCATCATCATCTTGCATCCGTTCGTCGTCATCATCTTCACCTGTCAAATCGATTTTCACTTCCTCCCATGCTTTCTTGACATGGTCTTTGAGATCTTCTTCTCGAGGGCGTGATTCGGCATTTGGTACAGTAGCCACGGTGATCTTGATTCGCTTCCTCCATCCATGACTGACCAAAAATCCTTTGCACATCACACAAATCGATAGTGGTGCAGGGGTCTCCATCAGACATGCGGGGCATAGTCGATGGTCCTCCTTGCTGGGATGATGAGTGACTGCTAGAAGTGATATTGCATCATTCCAATCCGGATGTCCAGGGAATAATCTGTGAGCATGACTGAAGTGACCGGTCTTGATGTCGACAAGCTTTCGAAGTTCGTTCAGATCGGGTGATGATTCATCAGGTACAATGTTCCCAATGAGTTTGTCAAATCGTTCGATGGTGGCCACCCTCCTTGCTCCTTGTACAGAAAGTACAAGCTGATCTTTTCCCTTTGTGATCATGAGACGGTAGTAGTCCTTTTCCTTCCAATCGTAGTACCAAACTGCATCGAATGATTCGAATGGAATTGTCTCTTGGACCAAAATGTGTCCGTCTGCTGATAGTCGAGGGGAGAACTTAGCGATGGAATCGTACGTGATGTATATGTAGACAAGATCAGTTTGATCAATCTTCCTGAATCGCAGCACCGTCTGACTTCGCACGTCCCACGGTGCGAATGGCACGAAG